AAAATCTTTGTAAATATTGTAATATACCATCATGGTCGGCCTTTTTTAATGCAACTCTGGATGAATGCCTCCACAACTTTACCATAAATCTGTTTCCTGTGAATTTTACCCATCTCATAAACTAAGGAATTTCTTCAATTGACCCTACCATCGATCTTGTGGTTTTCATGTGGGCCGTCTGCTCTCTCTTGAAACCATTCTAACGTCTTTGGTCCAGTGGTGGTCGGTTCTTCTTGCAGCTAGTCCTGCCATTTGCCGCTATGACTTTTTCACTAATGCAGTGACATCATATACTCTTATATGTGCTCTTATTTATTCATTCCTCTTTTTGTCTTTTCCTTTCATTCCCAACAGATTTTTTAATGCTGCATTGCGTTGTCCGGGATTAATAAATAGCTTTCAGGCGTAGGGTCCAGGTTTCAGACACACTGGTCAGTACGGAAAGCGCACACTGATCGCATACTTTCCGTTTCATTGCACAAGGGCAGTTTACCAGAGTGGTTCCTTTTCAGTCTTCCTAATGTACTCTATGCAGTTTTTCTTCTTTTGTTGGTTTCACAGCGTCGGTTCTTTGTTACAGAATGTAGCTGTAAGACGTAGACGTTACTTTGTTCTTCTTGAAGCCTGAGTCTCTTAACATCAACAAATCATAAAATAGTGTATTTGTAAAACATTAACAGAGTCTTCTTCAGGTTTATTTTCAGTCTTGCTTTTATGCTCCTGTCGTTCATCTCTTGAATTCTTTTTTCAGTTCTTCTGATGACTTTGAGAGGATCAGTAGGTAGATTCGATCATGGAAGATTAGATCATAACTCACCACGCTGGCCAGGCGTGTTGGTCTTGCACTTGGACAGGTATATTTGTCACACGTTCACAGCATGGCCCAATTTGCCACAGCTTAGAGACTCGGCTGTACATCGTCTTGCCGCTTTCTTAATATTGAAGTAATGAAATTAGGAGTTAGAGGAACGAAAGGTCATAATGAAAAGACATCATCATGCTTCCCGGTTCAGCACAAACGTTAACAGTTATCTTAGCTGCTTATAAGTAGAAGGACGAAGAGG